TTCCTTTTCCTTTTATGGCATTTCAAATTACTTTCTTTTTATGCTACCTTGGTTTTAAGTTATTTCCAAGCTAAAAAGCTAATTTATTAAATGATTGGAAAATTACATTCTAACTAACTAAAAATTAGAGCATTTCCTCTTTCCAAGCAATTCTTTCCCTCTTTGCCATTCTGAGAATTTGTTCATGATGAACTCCTGCACTTTATATACCCACACAGAATTTTTCTAGCTTTAACAAGCAATTCTATAGTCAAAGACAAAAATGCTATACCGAAGACTTTCAAGTCTTAACAGGCGATAAGTAGCTGCAGTGGTAAGAAGAGAAATAGCCGATCAGCACAGACCCCAACAGTCACCAAGCAGCCCAGCCTGGAGCCCAGGGCTGGAACCTTCAAGTCCTCCTCCCGGATGAAGAGAAGGCAGGAGACTGAGAGCTCGCTGATCCCACTTTTTCGGTTTGACCCCAGGTTTAAACCTTGAAGGGCTTCGCCAGTGGCTCAGCCTGCCACGTAGCAGCCACAGGAGACATGGGTTTGACCCTTGGAGCTGGAAGATGCCTTGGAAGAGGGCATAGCAACCCACTCCAGTGTTCTTGCCTGGAGAATCCCACGGACAGAGGAGCCTGGCGGGCTACAGTCCACAGGGTCGCAAAGAGTCAGACACAACTGGAGCGACTTGGCATGCACACACTAAACTTGAAAGTCAAGAAGATTTGTTCAAACACATTTCACTTACTTTATACTCTTCTCCTTCATGGTTCTAACCCTTCTGTGGAGGGGGGAACCCTTCTGTTCCACAAAGAGGTTGACATAAAAACGAGCTTTGACCTATGGAGAGTGTCTAGTCCCTGATACTTTTTGCTCTAAGCAGAAACTATCAGAAGTGAGAAGGACTGTAGGAAGAAAGAAGTATCAGGAAATATAAATTCTCAAGACCTCTGCCACCAACTGCTAAGATGCATTATATTTCTTTGGGTCATTTATCATTCTTTGGAGGGAAATAAAATGAGGGTTTCAAAAATTAATGACAATGTCTGGATTGGAGGCAAACCAGGAGTCAGATGTTATGTAATCTGCTCCCGTAATGTGCATCTCACACACACACACACACACACACACACACACCCATGCGTGCACACATACCTCTCTGACGAAAGTAAGAGATCAGCAGTGAAGGTGAAGGTATTTAAGTAAAAGAGAATTATCAGCTTCCAAAGGAGGTAAGGAGAACTGGGTCACAAACACCTCGAGCAGAAGGACTTGGCCGGGGCTCACCTGAGTCTTTCATGGGGCAGAGGGCGCACTGCATACCCCAGGCCTCCCCGTACAGACAGCAGCACTCCGTATACGTCGTCTGCTTGCCGACAAGAGGCCGGCTACACACATACTCATCACTCAGGTGTTCCCAGCACAGATCCTGGTAGACATCGGTTTCTTCAATTTGCTCTGAAAGGGAAGACACGGTTCCATGACAATTGCACTGCTATTCCTATTTCATAGACACTGTGGTAGAAGCCAGAGAGTGTCAAAGTTTCCATCCCGATTTCTAAGCGTGACTTCCAAGTAGAAATCTGAAGCCAGCCTGGTCTTTCCATGGATCAAACCTCTGTCATCTCCAACTGGGTGTCATTCCATCCGCTGAAATTCAACCTGCCCATCATGTTCCAATTAAATCCTTCCCTCTGTAGCTTCCACATTATGTAAAACCCTCCATGATCTTGCCTGTACTTCATAATCCTGATGGACTTCTTATTCTTCCAATATCTGATTTTTCACATTTACTCTTCTGTCAAATCCTACCTTTTCCTTCTGCACAAAATTTTGGCCTTTTTCATCCATTTCATCTGTCAAAGCCCTGAACTAGTGACACTTCATCCTAAGGTTCTTAATTTTAACCTTTCTACTTTTCAATAGATTTCAACCAAAGCAGTCTCCTGAATGTGCTGATACACTGATCAATTAAGTTAATTATAAGGAGCACATCACCTTTTCAGGGATGAATAGGGACTCCTACCAATGGATTGCGGAGCCCTCCACCACTGATGAATTCCGCCCTCTGCTCTGCCCAGCCTCATCTGTGTCCTCTATCCAGTCAAGCAAACCTAATTATTTTCCCTTCAACTTTCATCTTCCTCAGTTGCCTTCGAGGGTTAAATATGACCAACCCTCAGATATGGAAGAGCTCTGCCATCTGCTCAGTCACTCCTTGTCCTGTTGTCCATTAAATCAGTATGTGCAGGGTGTTAAATCTGCACATTGATGATATGAAACTTATTCTTTCTCTTAGCATCTCATTTTAATTTTTTCAAAATACCCAAGGAATCCGTTTTTCTATTTTCCGACAGCTCACATTTCAGTCAAAAGGAAAACCTTATGACATTTATTTGGACACAGACTTGCTTCTCACATCCAAACACACCATGTGATTCAGTTGGTCGGATACATCTTTTTTCCGAAGCATCCAGGATCATTGGGTGGGTACAGAAGCAGTTATAAGAGCCTTCTGTATTAACGCACTGGCCATCAATGCAACTGCTGGGGTCTTGACACTCGTCTATATCTTCAGAGAAAAAAAAATGAAAGAAAATCAGCAATCGGTTGCACCTCATACACTTAACCAAACTTAATACACCGCTAAATTTAGTCCAGATTTCAAGGTCTGCCACATTTTAATTAGCTACACATCATCATCCAAAAGAGAACAGCTCTGACTATAAAAATGTTAAGCTGTATTGATTGGAAAAATAACATTGCCCTACAGCTGCTGACATTAAATAAGGAAAGAAAACATTTAAGAACAGGATATACTTAGAAATTTAAGATAAAATGCCTTTTTATGACAGTTTTAAAATTATTTCCTTTTGCTATGTTTTTCTGCATAGTATATATGGTTTTCTGCTTAGGCATTAAAGTCTGGGTCCGTATTTAAAAATGACTTTCAGTGTATGGTATGAGTGATGAAACAGGAGGCTCCCCAGACCAAAAGAACATTTCAGTTATACCAGTGACCTGAATTATAATTCCACACTGAATATTAACTCTTCAAAATCTATTCACACAGTAGTTTGAAGGATTTTTATTTTCTGAAATATTGCTCAAGAAAAAAATGCATAAAACATTTACAGATCTTTTCAACATGAAATTTAAATTCTAAGAAACTTTTTATACACAACAGTACTATTTTTTTCCCATCTGTTTTCACAGCACATCATAAAATATCCTCTTAAAACTTACCAAAGCACTGCAATTTGACAGGATCATAGTATGTCCCTTGCTTACAGTAGCATTCATAACCAGGCTGAGTATTCATACAGAAGCCATTTTTGCAGATCTCTTGTCCAAAAAGTAGGCATTCATCTGCATCTATGGGGAAAAATGGTCATAATATCTCTATCATTGAGATGTTAAAGTGAGTGGTTAATAAGGAAAGACTCATATGTGTAGTTTAAATTTCACCAAAGTAAAAAATCTGGAATTTATTTTAGAGTTACAGGCTAATAACATGAAATGTATAAAGCACATCGACTTTCGCTTTCTTCTTTTCCATTCCTTATCACTAATCTATGGCCATTAGTAAAAGGTCCTAGCAAAGTAGGATGCTTTCTAAAAAAGCAAAAATCTTTGCTTTGTTGATAACCATTAAAGGCCAACATAATGATCAATTTTATATTGGTCCTAACGTACAATTTTTAACATTGTCCTAGAATAAAAGAATAAATCTATTAAAGTACAGAATTTTGTATTAAGTACTTTTACATATGTTACCTTATTTTATCCTCATGACAGCCTTTGAAACATCATTTCAGAGGTGGAAACTCAGAATCTTAAGTCCCACCGTCATACAGTCTTACATGTTCTAATTTCCAAGCCACAGTTCTACCTAGAGATTACTGGGTAGAATTCAAACACAGGCCATGCTTCACTTGAATGGCAGATATGAACACTCATTGCAAATTAGTTTCTGCTTGAAACTGACCTTTATAGTTCTCACCATCAACGCCGTAAGAGGATTCTTCCGAGGGGACAAAACCTTTCCCTCTAGGACACATTTCAGTGAATTCAGCTGATTTCAGAAGAGACAAGGGGAAAAAAAAGTTGGGGAAAAGAAAAAAAAAAATCTTCCATGAGTTTTTTTTTTCCCCCATGAGTATGTTTTAAATTCAGTTTTGCTTTCTCAAATTCAGTAACTTAAAGGCAAACTGTGCCATCTAATTCAGACAAATAAATTCAGTACAATCTCAGAATTACAAAGTAGGTGCTAACAAACCTAATGACTTCATAAATTTACTTATAATTTTAAAAATACTTGGTAGTTCACTCATGTTATTTATCCATGTTTTACTTATAAGTGCTTGAGTGTTGACTTATTTCACCATTACTATGGTCTCTAGTATTTTACCTGGAGGAGTGCATGGAAACCCACTCCAGTATTCTTGCCTGGAGAATCCCATGGACAGAGGAGCCTGGTGGGCTACAGCCCATAGAGTCACACAGAGTCAGACACGACTGAAGCGACTTGAGCACTAGTATCTTAAATTTTTAATAAGAATCCAACAAGAAAAATCTTAGCTTAAATATACAAGCTCTAATTAGGAACAACCCTGTGTCAGTGTTAGAAAAAAATCGTTGCTTTTACATTAAAAATGGAATAAAACTGAATTATCTTTCTGATAAAATATCATATGGAATGTCACCATAACAGCATATTCTGTGATACACAGAAGTTCAAGAATTTATATTGAGGTGGGACAGGGTTTGGCTTCTAGCCTTCTAGAAACCCACTAGAAGGTATCTGACCTCAATCTGACTACAGCAGGTACCAGCAGATGTCAGCGCTTTGAGGCTTCAGTAACCCAAATGAGAACACTCCTAGACCCATGAACAGCACCCAGCAGACAGCAGTGTGAACACAGCGCCCAGCCGATTCTTACCAGTGCCCGGGACCGGGCAGGGGAAAATCTCACAGTTATCTCCCCACCCAGCGCCGGACGTGCAGCAGCACTCCTGCTTGGTGACATTGGGAGCCAGCACGTTGTCACAAAGACTGGCGTCGTTTAGATTATAGTAGCATTCTTTCTTCTCCTCTCTGGGTTGATCTACTTCTGAGTCTAAAGAGAAAGCAAAAAAGAGTGTTGACAGGATACATCAAATCTACCTGCACTGCAATGGAATCGAAACACAATGGACTGGATGTGCCAGTGGCACTTCATTTACAGAAGGCTGCTTTCTCTTCTGTAGCAGATTCTCCCACTTCAAGATAAAAATACGTTTGAATCCTGAATTTTCATGGATTTCTAACCCACCCCAACGTGTAAATCTGTCAAAATCATTTCCTTTGACGTTAACCAATTACTACATTCATGTGAATTTGGCTGTGAGTACAGTTTCCATATCTGCTTTCTTGCCAAACATAGGGCCATTCTTTACTGAGCTATAACACCTACTTAAATCAATGAACATTTTCCCTGACATTGAACCAGAGATGTGAGGCCACTCATAATATTTAACCCTTAGATAGCTCTTGAGGTAACCATGCTCCCCCAATCTTTCCTGAACAGTGCAAAGCAGAGGAAGACAACCAGAAAAACACTGTAGTAACCTGAGTCTATAAAATGATCTAACTACTCAAATTGCTGCAGCTGCATGACTTTGAATAGAACAGTAAGAGCCAGCTAAGCCTCGGGAGGGCATTTCAGGACCAGGTTCTAGGCCCAGCGCAAGTGTGTCCTAAAGAATATATATTCCAACAGAGTCCATTTAACTTTCTGTCTAAAAGACAAGGTGATATGATAGAACACAAATGATAAAGACCTGCAGTGAATTCCCTCGTGGTCCAGTGGTGAGGACTCTGCACTTTTCACTGATGAGGGCACAGGTTCAATACCTGGTCGGGGAACTAAGGTAAGATTCCACAAGCTGCACAGTTCGTCCAAAAAAAAAAAAAACACAGTTCGTCCAAACTCAAAAAGCAATTTGAGTAGTTAGATCATTTTATAGACTCAGGTTACTGCAGTGTTTTTCTGGTTGTCTTCCTCTGCTTTGCACTGTTCAGGAAAGATTGGGGGAGCATGGTTACCTCAATAGCTATCTAAGGGTTAAATATTATTAGTTTCAGACAATACTAATGACTTACTCCCATCAGATTTGAAATCTATGAGCAAGTTTGTGCTTTTAAAAATGATTTTAAAAATCTATTACCTAGTAAAGGCTATACAGTTCAAATTACTGCCTAATCCAGTTAGAATTTATTAAGTTTTAGTTTTATGCTATGTCAAATAAAAAGTTGCTGTAATCAAGATTGCTGGGAGAAATACCAATCTGCATAACCTCAGATATGCAGATGACTCCATCCTAATGGCACAAAGTAAAGAAGAACTAAACAGCCTTTTGATGAAGGTGAAAGAGGACAGTGAAAAAGCTGGCTTAAAACTCAACATTCAAAAAAATAGAGACCATGGAATCCAGTCCCATCATTTCATGGCAAATTGATGGGGGGGAAAGTGGAAACAGTGACAGATTTTATTTTGGTGGGCTCCAAATTCACTGCAGATGGTGACTGTAGACATGAAGTTAAAACACGCTTGCTCCTTAGAAGAAAAGCTGTGACAAACCTAGACAGCATATTAAAGAGTGGAGACATCACTTTGATTTAATGATTTATTTTCATAACAGTTTCCCATATATTTACTTTGGCAGGGTCAAACTGACTGCAGAAACCTGATGAATACATCACATAACAAAGGTGTCCTTGACGTGTAACTTCATAAAATTCTATCAGAAGAGTTACTACCCTTCCTTTCCCCTTATGGCAGTAAAAACAAGCAAAACAGCAAACAAAGCTTCTACGTGTATATTACTCCCAGAATGCAGAATATCAATGAGAAGGTAAAGGATCCCTCTCACCCTTGACTCCAGATAATTCTCAGGTTATTCTATGTTTGACAGAATTCAGCTTGGACTCTACTTTGAGTCTTAATAGCTGATATCATATTCAAACCTAGCATTAGTATCCAGGAAAAAACTGAAATGCTGATTCCTACGCAGTTTATGAAGTGGTTTTAAATCATTTCTTTGTATGTGAAATTGGATAAAACCTGTCACATCCCCTGTGTCAACTAGCTGTTTTCGAGTGCTGGGGACAGAGTACTTTGCCGGATCTTGGGGAATGGATCACCACCACCATTTCATCCTCTTCAAGAGGGGCCCCAAGCTCTTCCATAGGGTATCATTGGGGAAAATTAAGGGTATTTTTAATTAATATTAAATCAATCATGAACCCTATAAAAATTTTATAAACTTTCTCCCAAGATGTGCAAATAAGTTGGCAGCCTATTACTATGAACAATTCCACTCATTGTATTCAATTTGCCTTAAAATGCAACTACTTATTAATGAATGAATGCCTTTAGAAATACAAATCAACTCAGCAACAGAACTAGAGCTTTGCCAATCAAATTAACAGTCTGTTAAAAGAGTGCTCAATAATTGCTTTTCTCTTTGTATAAAGTTGTGGTTTCTATGACAAGACAGAATATTGTACAGTAACACCTCAATGAAGCCTGCTGTATTCATAGGTAATTAGAGACCACAGGCTTCTGAGTCAAAAACTTTATATACACTTAAACACTATTTCTATCATGTTCTTTACATTCACAGAAATAAAATTTCTTTTTTCTTTGGAAGGAAACTCTAAGGTGATTGCATAAGAGAAATAATCAATATCACTGTATTATTCAGGTTTTACATTGGCTATTACAAGTTCTGCTCTTATTTTCTTTCCAAGCAGTTTGAAAGTTCACTGTTTACACAGCTGAAATTGAGGATTAGTCAGGCCCTCATCTGAGTTTGGAAAGAGATGCAAATTCCTTTAAAAAAAAAGAAAACAAAAACTGGTCCATAAAGGTCATTCTGTGAAAAGCTACAATTTCCCTATCTTCTTAACCTTTAAATAATTAACTTCCTAGAGCATTTTTCCACCAGGGCAACAATCTGATCAATAAATACATGTAATATTATTTCTTTAAAAAAAAAACAAAACAACTCTATGAGTTTACATCACTGCTGCCAGGGGAGGAATTTTTCTATCACAAAATAATTTTGAAAGACCAAATCAAATGATGTAGAAGGTGCCATGCTCGGAAAAGAATTGATTCTATTTTTCTTAAAGATTTTATTAATAATGTTAGCCATACTTCATATCTCATGCCATAGACTTCTACGAAATATATTACTTCACCTCCAGTATTTTCATATTTGATTTTTCAATATGTATTAAGAGGCTGGCTTAACATCTGTGTATAAAAAGCAATGTATGTGTTTTAATTGGGGTGTGGCTAGTGATAAAAAATGAGGTTTTGGACCTTCCTACTTGGGTGCTTTAAGAAATTATTACAAATGTCTTTTCATGCAATGCGCAGAGTATTTAACTCTCCATGAGATAAACAATACAGATTAAATAGCGTCTTCATTTTCTGGAGGAGAGCATTTAGCTTGGGTCCAACGTGCTGTGCCTAATGCCTCCCCAAACCTTTTCTGTGGGGCTCAGCTTCCTAGCATCTCAATAAACATGAGTTTATTTTGCTTTGCCTTTGCCCAGAGGGCAGCAGCTAATTCCTGCTGGCATGGAGTTCAGTGTTAAGCCCACGTACAATGTGATGGTCTTCTGTTACTGTGAATAGGAAGGAGCGAGTTTGAGCAGTAGGTACCACTGGTGAATTGCCCTTTCTAGAAGCTCTCCTGTTTCATCAGAAAGAGAACATGGCTGTTCACTTATAGGACTGTCTCCTGCTTTAGTCTTTCCCTAAATATGCCTAACCTTAGGTTTGCTGCTGGGGTGAGGAGATCTGGAACATTTCCTTGGTTACAGCGGACATTCCATTTGCAATATGTTCTGAAAGCCTTTAGATGCCAATCCCCTCCATGGCCCTCTGAGACAGGATGATGACAGCAAATGAAGAGTCACATTACAAGTATGCGTGAGTAAACAATGCCCCCTAATCCTGAAAAAGACATCCATTTATAAAAGTCTGTGACAGTGATAATGTTCAGCAAACTGCTTTTCAACAGAATTATTTGGAAAGCTTTTATTCTCTTTATATTAAAATCATCACAGGCACTGTTTTATACCAACTCATACTTCTATGAGAAAAAGAATTCTAATCTAATAGTCCAAGAGTAAAAGAGAACTTGGAAATTCATTTCCCACCCCTAGTTTTCTCATTCAAAGACTTGGAAAATAAGAAGTGTGTGTGTGTGTTTCAAGTGGAATTTAGAAGAAAGCCATTGGTAAGTTTCAGAAAACAGGCACTGACAATAGGAATGGGCCAAACACAAAGGGATGCAAATAAAAAGGAAGAGTGTAGAAAGGGGGTAAGTTCAGATAGTAAAAGACATGGAAGAAATAAAAAATAAAGGTTAGGAAATGAAGTACAAGAGCAAAAATACTTTCGAAGCAGATTCTTCCACACAGTTGCCGTCCTTAAAGAGGTTAATCAGATGGGGACTCAGGCCATGACAGTGCAAGAAAAGCAAGTGCTGGGCATGTAAGCCACACTGCAGAGAACTGGGGGCAAGGCTCTCCTGGAAGGCTGCCTAGAGGAGCCGACGTTTTCAAATCAAGTCCTTGAAAAATAAACTTTAAAAAATTTGTTCAGAAACTAAGATGTGACAGGTGAGGAGGAATAAAAGTACAACTGTCCTTAGGTCTGTGGGGATAGAGCAGGCACGGGAGTGGTCGTCTGTGGAAGGAGTCACAGAGGGGCCTGAGAACAGGCAGGAATACATGAACATGTGAATAAGGATAGATGTGTTCATCCCTCGGGTGCTAAGGCAGAGGACAATGCCAATCTCTACTGGAAGAGAAGCGCCTCAAGGACTTGCCAGGTGGAACAGAGGATTTTTGGTTTTGCTTTTTTAGTGATGAAGAAGTTAGAAGATACTGGAAAGAACAAGCCTGGGAGAGAAGCAGGCTGGGGCGAGGGTGAGAAGAGAAAGTCTCATGGATGGAGGGGCTTCCCTGGTGGTCCAGTAGATAAGACTTCGTGCTTCTGATGCAGGGAACCTAGGTTAGATCCCTGGTCGGGGAACTAGACCCCACATGCCACAACTA